TATCACACAGTATTCCTCAGCGAAGGACTTTCTGCAGTCATTGTGGACTGACATGCAAACTCATGGGTGTTTCAATTTCATCCATAGCACTTACTGGACCTTTCCATGGTGGCTTAAAAGTTAGCATACAAGTTGATTATTCACCTAAGTAACAGTAGTCTACGAAAACAAAATCAAGGTCCACTATAGGGCTGCTATGAGTGGTCGTCAAACTATTAAATCAATCGTCGACTAATTTAGTAACTGATTAATTTTGTTAGGTACATTTTTAAGAAAAAATTCTCTGATTCCATTTTTCCTTGATGTATTTGGTGCATGTATTTCATGCAGTTAGGTGTTTTTGTAAACTAACTATAAAAAACCCCAAAACCATATACTCCAAGAATTAGTATGCAGCACATATCATATATTATCAGTATGTAATATGGCATTGGGACAAAACTATTGCCTGCTGTTTATGTGAGCAAAGAGAGTGTGCAGACACCCAGATTAGGCTGTAGAGGAAATTGAGGTGTGTGATAACTGGTGTGCAACTGCTGTCATTAAGTCTGTGTCTCCTGCTGCAGACGCCCTGGTTGAATTACACTCAGGACATTGAAAAGGCCAAGAGTGAGATCTGGATTCTTGGAACTGTACATGATATTACACACAGGGGCTCGGTCATAGTGTAGGATTTAGACAACTCCAGGGACAGTTCAGCCCCAAATAAAAAATACATATTTTTCCTCTGACCTGTAGTGCTGTTTATCTGTCTAGATTTTGGTTGAGTTTCAGAGTGTTGGAGATATTGGCTTAAAATATGTAATTTCGATTTTTAGGGTGAAGCAGATTTAAACAAAGATTATGCAGATGCTCTTTGACCTCAGTGTGACTGTTGTTGTTGACATGTCTGTCTTTTTCTCGCTGTGTCAGGACGAGGGTTTAGGTGCCTATGAGATCCTGAGGGACCTGGAATCGCAGTGTCTGAGCGACATTTCAGCCATGCTGAGCGGAGAGATCCCAGGAGAAGAACTGGGGGACTTGTTTTTTGACTCCGTGGACACAGAGATAAAATTCTACCAGTGAGGAGGTGGGAGGCTGCAGGAGCTGTGTCTGATGTTGTATCGTGCATGAATGTGTTCCTGGTGTTAAGGGAAAACTTGGGAGTCAAGGAACTCAAACCCTGAAGAGAGGATTACTGTAATATAGATATGCCTAACTATGATTATACAATTACTTCTAGTGGCACTACAGATTATAGGATAAACTCCCAGTATAGGGTCAGATCAGTGGCTGTTTGTAAAGATGGACAACACAGCTCTGTTTTCTCACACAGTAAAAAAAAAATGAAGCCAAAATATCCTGGATACAGCTGCTGCCATGTTGCACTGGTGACATAGTGACCTCCACAGTATGGAGTTCCTGCCCATACACCCTTCTTGACTAATTACAAGCAGCACCATAGATTGTGAGCACACAGATGGACACATGAAGCTGTCAATCATGACTTCAGATCTCCTTTTATAGCATCAAATAACGAATTATAACCAAAGTCATCAGAGGAATGAAAACTTAAACATACAGTACATCAGCATGATAAGAACTATCTTAAATGTATGACCTGTACTGCAGCCGGCCACCAGGGGGCGAAGATGTTTTAGCTTCACTTTTGGGGAGCTGTCATGTCATCCATCTTTATATACAGTAAATGGGCCAGATCCCAAACTAGAACAAAATGGCGTACAAAAACATCTCAAGAAGAGGTGAGCTAAAATGACTCATTCTCATGTTAAAGGTCCAGTGTGTAGGATTTAGTGGCATCTAGTGGTGAGGTTGCAGGGCTGAAATTTTGAACTGAAACGTGAATGGCCTTATCTAGAGCCAGTGTTTGGTGTGTGCGTTCTGGGCTACTGTAGAAACAACATGGCGGACCCCATGGAAGGGGACCCGCACTGTATATAGATATAAACAGCTCATTCTAAGGTAACAAACCTCAATGATTTTTAATTTAAGGTGATAATACACTAAAGAACACACAGTTACGAATATTATATACCATTTCTGCCAATATATGCCCCTAAATCCTACACACTGGACCTTTAATTGGGAAGATAGCGGGTATAACATCCGAGCCAAACCCAATCTGATAATGATTTTTAAGATCATAGAGAGTCTGCATTTGTCTCTGGAAAGGAACAATTTGTGCTGGTACAAAGCATTTAAATATCTTGAAATATTTGTCAGCTGCAAAATGTGTTGTGAAATGTGATAACAGTCAGCTAGTGTTTTATTTTTGGCCAGCAATTCTTTCACAGTGTTCTTGAAGATTAAAGCACATAAAACAAAAACAGGATAGTGACAGCATTTCTACACTTATTAAAAGGTCAAAGCCATTGTGAGACATTGAAGCTTGTGATTGTAATAACAAGTCTCTGATGTCTCAGTGTGTTTCTGCTGCCCTGATACCTCTGACTTCACGCACCCTTTGCATGCAAATACAGAAATATCCCTGTGTGGAAGTGTAACTGTGACCGTGCTCCCAGCAAAGCTTATTAAGTGCTTAACGTGTGCTGTGTTCAACTGTCCTCTGTTACAGCGCCCTCAGGTGGACATCCCTAACGCTCGCAGAGTTGCAGGAGAGCGCCCTGGGACTGTTAAAAACTCTGTGTGCTCCTCGTCTGATTGGCCTCTCCCTCACTCACACATCACACGTCCCTGACACCATTCCATCATTAACACAGACTACGTGTCTAAACTGCACTTGTGATTGGAGCAAATGTATCATCTGTATCACCCAGGGAGCAAATGAGTGCACCTCATTAGTGAGTAGGCCTTTAATGATGTAGACTACACAGGCTATTGTATGTAGAGCGAGCTGTGTGAAGTTGCACAAATACTGAGTGTGGCGTTTGTTTAACTTTTTGTTTGTTGTTGCAAATGAATGGGTTGTCATTTGAGGGCTACCTGTAGGGAAAGATCTAATAAAGAATGTGCTTAGTCTGTCCTGTGTGTTGTCAGCTCTCTGGCCATGCTTGTGGTGCATCATTAGAGTATGTCCACATTAAACCTAAATTTATTAACACTTTTTAAATTACATTTTTAAATTAAATCTTATTTTTTTAAATTGCAGCAATATTATATTGATACACTGATGCCAAGTGTTGATTTCTATTCAATAAATTATTAATATTGCAAATACAAATTAAACTTTCGGGAGGCTCCCAGAATGGAAGTAAATAACAGTGGAAGCAAATAAGAAATGTAAGTATTTGAATTTTAAACAGCCACTGAATACTTAGTATGGAAATTTAAACACCACTGGTTAAATTAAAATTTGAAATCACTTGATTTGCAATTTCAGAAGCTAAATTTGAACATATTTATTTCAGTGTTCACAAATTCAGATCCAAAAACTCAAATTTTCAAAATTCAACATCCAAGCTAAACAGGACAGGATGGGCTTGAATTTTTGGATCTGAGTTTAACCAATCAAATTTGAGCAACCTGAATCTATATATCTGAAATTCTAAAACTAATTTTTTGAGCAGGTTATACAGTAGGTGTGGTGTCAGGGACACCCTTGCCTTGACCTGCAAAATGTCACTCAAATTGACATGTACCAGCCAGGAAGAGACTCAAAAAGACCCTAAGACACATAAAACGACTACAAAGAGATGCATAACAGCTGCAGAGTGACACAAAGAGACTCATACTAATCACAAAGAGTCACAAAACAATTACAAAGAGACTCTAGCTCTATGTAGGAGAGGTGGTGGAGCCTATTGTCTCATAATCTGCCCATGAATGCATAGATGAATGGGATGCAACTCTCAGCTATCATGGATGTAGAACATTGGATCCCAACCTGGGGGTCCCGACCCCCCTAAGGAGTCACCAAAGCATCACAGGAGGTTTTGGGTCCTTCTTGATTTTAAAAGGTGTGAGAAAACTTTTAGAATAAATAAGTAAATGACTAATTTAGCAGGCCTGTATCCCAACACTTCATAGATTCCTGTGAAGGAAACTAGATGAAATTGTTTTTTTTAAGCTTAGATTATTAATTAATATATGTTCTAAAAAATACTTTACTCACAGAGCCTTCACTCTCTGCTAAACAACATTGTCCTGCATTACAAAAATACACAATTAAGACAACCAAAGACCTAATAAAACAATGCACAAGTAACACTATTGGTAAAAAGAACAAATATATACAAAATAGAGAATTGTATTAATTTCCTACAAATTTTAGGAAAGTCTCTGATTAAATATTTACAGGAAATAAACTACTCTAAATTCATCCAAACAGATAGCTTTACACAAACTATCTGCAGTTAATTGTACAGTTTATCTGCTGTTCTGTATTGTCACTGTTATGCACTGAATATATTATGAAATATCCATTAAATATACTACTACTACTACTACTACTACTACTACTACTAAACAACTTGATTTATAAAGCGCTTTTCAAAACAAAGTCACAAAGTGTTTTACATGGGTGATTTTTAATTTCATTCATGTAAAACAATGCAGGATGCAAGCAAATAAGATCAGGCAATTTCAAGAAATACAAAACAAGAACAAAAAAACAAATAGCCTAAATAAATGATGAGCTGGCAACTAATTGCCCTGCAGATTGCACTGAGGTATAGCAAATCAATAAGTCACTTAGTAAGGAGGTCCCCTCAGGAGAAAGGTTAGGAACCACTGATAGTAGAAGAAGAACCCCAAAGAAGACGAAGCATCCGGTTGTTCACACTCCGTCCAGGAGGGGGCGGTCATTTAAATGCTTTCATTACTGACCGTGTCGGCAGCTCTGTGAAGAGGCGCAGGGTGCACCGCGCCAGCAAAATATTTGTAAGCTAACTGCTAACTTGTGTTGTTGTTACGATTTAAACAAATTGCCAATCCTAATTTGAGCACCCACCCTGACCCCCCCCCTCCCTTAAAGAAAGTGGAGTCGTCCAACGGAAAAGGTAATGTAGCGCTTGGTTGTCACCCGACCCCACTGTGATTATTGCTAACCAAACACTGTCCTCTGCACCTTCTTAGCTTCCCTTGCAGCTGTTCTGTCTGAACATAAGGCCGAGGAGAGGGCAGCTAGACCAAATATTTTGCTTTTAGATGACAATTTATCGTGAGTTTCGTGTTTTCGTACTAGCTAAAGCTAACTAGCAAGATATACTATGCTACTTTGAAGCCGACCTACTAGCAAACAGCCAGTAGAGCTAGCTAGCTAATGTTAACAGCTAACGTTAGCCAGGTACAGAGATAGAGGCCACCACTAACCTCACAGTGATAGCGTGGTGCTACTTTATTGTGTGATATGTCGTAAACATTGTACCGCAGGTGAGTTTACTGATAATACGTCTCTGGTTTCTAAGAGTGAGTGAAAAATCTGCACACTTTTAACCGTTAGCTTGTCCATGATAGCACACTGCGTGAGACTCCTGCCATCGATGTAGCTAATGTTCCTGCATCAATATACGCTGTCTGGAAATATTTAAGATATTCTCCCTGTGGTCTGATCATCACATCATATTTTATGTGCTTAGGTACACGATATGATTTTTTTCTGACACCTTCATGTGCAAGATTTTTCTGTCTAACTTAGCGAGTGACAAGGGCAAGTGAGGGTTTTCACTGCCAGTGATCACTAACGCCTACTTTTACAATTAGAGTTTAGGCTGTATCACTGGGATTTAATTGCTAGGCAACAGCTTGGGTCCATGTCTACATCCTGTCAGCTTATGTCATCCACATACACCGCAAAACATCCCAACAGCAAATACAAAAGAGCCCATTTAGCATATTTATGTTGTCAAGTTTGAATCAGATTACAGTGTGGGTCCTCTGTGGCATGTTTGTAAAATAAATCCATGCGAGATAAGAAATTGTTAAATAGCTATGATCAAGATTTGTCTTATCAATCTTCTGGAGCTCTGCCTCATGATTTTAAAGCAAATCTTCTTCTTCATTTGTTACTGCAGGCTTTGACGTCCACTCCGCTGCTTGGGTTGCTGTGAGACGATGATGCAGTCGAGCAGGTCCGAGCACAACCACAAGCGGCACTACAGTGATAGAAGTTCAAGGCAGTGGTATGACTATGATGACAGATGGGAAGAATGGCGTGAACCTCACAGAGATATACCGCAGGATTCCTATCAAAAATATGGTGGGGATGGACAGTGTAGAGTAGAGAGGACAAGGAGAAGTAGAGAGTACAGTGACTCGCCTAAGATGCCGTACGGCAAAGACTCATTGAACAGAGACTGGAGCAGAGATGGAAAGAGCTCAGTGAGGAGACGCAATTCTTCACCTGACTGGGGTAACTCTGATCGGAAAAGGCGAAGGTATACAGAGGATGATAAAGATGATTACAGATACAGGCGTGAGCCTGAAGATAAAACAAACAGACAGTCACCAGACAGTTTTCCACGTGCACATGTATCCAAGGATTTTAAGCATTCACTATCACAAGAGGAGGATTTCAAATACAGGAAAAAACCTCAAGACTCCAGACACAGGTATCGGCACGAAGAATTCACCTCTAGGCAACAACATGATGATTTAAGTTTCAGACAGTCATCTAGATATCACAAAGATAGAGATGGTGATGAAAGGAGCCGAGACTGCTCACAAGAGCGGACACAATCACACTCTATGAAGGTTAGTTACAAAACTTTGTGTTAGTGTTGTGTAAAGATTGTGGGTTTATTTGTAGTGCATTTTACTAAAATTTTCCTCCATATCAAACAGAGTTATGCCAAACCCAGAGAGAGGACTGACAGCTCCATCACAGATCATGAAGATTATCGTCAAAATAGAAGAAGGTTTCCAGTGAATGGATCTAGTGGACAGGTGGGTTTATTTCAGATGTGACAATTGGGACTACGTTTATCTAAAGCAGGAGGTGCGGGCAGATTCCCTTGGATGATGTGTGTTCATAATATACCCCAAATAATCATTTTGTTCACTTTGAAGTGGAGCTTGTCAACGAGAATGTCTTCACTGAAAATGTCTTTTCTAACTGGATCACAAAACACAAATTTGTAAAGCTACTGGAGAAAATTGGTGAGCTGTCTAATCATTGCATAGCCAAAGTGTAAGTGACAATCATAGTCAGAAGGCTTTCTCAAACTTTCCTCCCTGTTGTCTTAACCATCAACAGTGTTTACTGGGAGCACAAGCAGCAGCTCAAGCTGACCAGTCACAGTATCTGGTGTCCATGTGGTTTCTCTGTAGCCCGAACTTTACACCAGTCAGATTCACCATGGAGCGACAAATATGGCATGTGCAATACTGGACACAGCAGTAGAAAAACAGCGTGTGTCATTGTTTTGATTTGGTCTAATTACTAAGATGCTAAGAGCTAGCATGAAAGGCAACCAATCATAACTGGCCGATAAAAACACTTTCCCTCCAAGCATCTCCTTCCATTGGGAAAAATAATGGACAGTCAACTACATTACGCAGTCACACTTTGTCTAACTCGATGTAAATTGGGCAAGTTATAGTGTTGGCTGTCACCAACCATCACATCCTGCGCTGATGATGTAGTCCTTATCAGGGACACATTAGGATGCATTAGTGTTTACACTACAAAAGATATGTGGTCAAATATGTCTCAGATCACCTCGGCAAGTGGTTTGAGTGATTGGATCACAGTCTTGTGGTCCGATTGCCCAAGACGAACAATAATCCCAGGTATAAACAGGGCCAAAGACTGCAGAGAGTTGTTCCATAAACTGTGGTTGCTTCTATTTGTTTCCCATCAGTCTTTCGAGAGTGATGTCAACAACCAAAGCGCTGCTGTTCCTGAGCAAAAGTCAGCTGTGGGTTTCCAGCGTTTCCTTGAGGTGCTCAACAAGGGTGTGAATGTCGCCATGCTCACCAAGATTGTGACTCGGCCCTCTATGGAAGTGGATGTTCGGCCACGTTCTCCAATTTCATCCAGGAACACTAATCATCCTTGGTCTCCCAGTTACACTGAGAGGCAACAGGGAAGCCACCAAAGTACCAGCCACTGGAGTGAGAGCAAGGAATACCAGAGACCGGCTTCTCCACAGCCTCGTCACAGGTCCTCTAGCCCAAAGGGGCACTCTCTGTCTCTGTCTGATGAAAAGTCTCTGCAAAGGGGTGACGCAGAACAAAGCCACTTCAGCTCCAACAGTAGATCCAGGTCTCCCACAGTGGTGGAAAAGATAACACTGACACCTGAAGATGAGCACAAACACAGGCAGATGCAGGATGTTTTGCAGGCCATTGGCATGAATTTAGGATTTGAGGAACTGGGCCAAATGTCACATCGGATCCAGGAACGGTTATACGGAAAGAAGGATAGTGATGTTGGCCGGCATCGCAGAGGAAGCAAGGAAAGGGACATAAGGCAGGTGTTTTCACCAAGACGGCAAAGTAGATCATCATCATCAAGCAGATCTAGTGTCAGTCCGTTAAATCAGGACTACTACAAGAAAAGAGACTCATACAGTGCTCAGAGGGAGGCAGCAGAGGTATGCCAAGTACAGGTACATGAAGCTGTTGAGTATGGACTGCATAGCAGCAGCAACAGCACATTTCAGGAGAGTGAGACATGTGAAACATACACCCAGGAAAGCACGGCTACATGTCAAGCGTTTTCTCAAAATTCCACATACACGTTATCACAGTCATCTCCCACACCTGTTATGCCGGCCTACTCTCCAGTAAACCATCCGCTGCTGCCATACCCAGCTCTGCCTCCAGCTCTACCTCCAGCTCTGCCTCCTAATTTGCCCCACCTTGGACCCAGGCTTTTTCTGCCTCGCCCGCCTCCCTTCTTCCCTTACCCCCACGTCCCACCTTTGAACATCTTCCCAGCAGTACTTGCTCAAACAAGGACCTTACTCCCACAACCCATGAGTAATCCACCCCTTTTTAACCTTCCAGGTATTAACACAATTCAGCCTCTGAACACCACACAAAAAAAACCACCGTCAAGACCCCGCTGTTTGCAGGTCATTGAAACCAAACAACCTGGATGAAGACAGTTCAGTTTTAACCCTAAAACACAAATTTGAACATCACATAGGAGAAAATAAACAAACATTCGCAAGCAATCTGTCCAGCAGCAACAAAAAGCAAGGCAAAAATTAACAGACAAGTAAATTGACAAACACATGTAGTGTTGGAGCTCTGTCCGTTGCTCAGTCTGTTCTTATAGCTATAGCACAATGTCACGCTAAAGAAAAACACAGTGCAGTGTGAAGAAAGTGTTTATTCTTTTCTGAAAACTTTGTCTTCTTGATTTTGTTTGAACACCACCATTTGATTAATTATAATTTTTGTTGAAATCATAATTGTCCATAGAGGTTTTTTTGGAGATAACAGGCTTTAAACCTAATGAATTAGGGTTTTGGCCAACACACAACCACAAATGTGCTCTACACTGAAGCTTCTCTGTTTGTCAGGTTCACATGTTTTCTTTTTTGTGTAAACATGCAGAAAATGATTTTGTAAATATTTGAATAGCATAATATTAAACACAGTGTTCCTACATGGATGACTAAGAGTTGTTTATTTGCAACATTTTTTTGACTATATCGTGAAGAAAATATTCTCAGACGAAGCAAATATTGGATGGGACTGACATGCACAGAAGTTGAAATGATGCTGCTCGGCAGGCTGCACAGTACATTCAGTTACTGAACTGCTACATGGTACGGATGACTGCAACATCAGAGTATAATTGATCAGACAATTGGAAAACACTTAAGTGAGGTTTGAAAAATGGTTAGCAGATGGTAGTTTTCATTTCATACATCTATTTCTACAATCTCAGGGACCAATTTTATATCAAGCTGGCTGATCAAGCGTTGCAACTATTAGCTGTAGGGCTAGATATTGGTACTCAGCACCTTTTTTAAGGTATTGAAAACCTGAACTGAAACCTCTTCAGTCAAATGATATATGCATTTTATTATTTAAAATGACTTGGTATGGTTTTGCTCGCAGCCAATCAGTGTAAGCATTCATTAAGAAAATGCAATGTGTGATTGGCCCACTACCACACAAGCTACAGCCCACACTGTCTGTGTTGTGGTGAGGTTGAGTGTAGTGTTTTCATTTTTCATTTCAGCGTATTCGAGTTTTGGCACCAAAACATTGGAATGTATGACTGTACTACATGCTGTGGCGTCTGGGGTCATTTTATGCAACTGAATTCTTTCATTCACATGATGGCTGTTGAATGAAGAAGGAGATAAATGGTATTGAATGAAGTACCCTACTGGTATCTGTATCACCCTCAGGGTACTGGTGTTGGCACTGGTATTGTAATTAAAAAAAAAATGATACCCAGCCCTAATTATCTGCACATAGTTTGTATACATACCAGTCTACAAAAAGTGGGCATAGGATTGTTTCATGTCATCTAACATCTGTGTCACTGAAGTGTTTGCTCCTGTACCCTTGTTACCTGTGTGGGGAGAAATTGGACTTCACATTAGGACTAATGATTTCTGAAACAAATGATTAATCAACAGATTTATTGGTTAAATAGTTAGTCTGTAGTATGGCAGATGCTAGTCATATGTTGTTGGCCTTCAGTCTTTGACTAATCCCCCAAAATTTTCAGTTACTTACATATTACTTGGAATTAATCAGTTCTATTTCAGCTCTGTCACTCTGTCAGACAAGCTCAGAGAGGTGAATACAGAGCTCCTGAAAAATTCCTGCAAAGTACACTTGTACCACTCTAAAGAAGCTAGAGCCTAGGGCCTGAGGGAGATCATTGCCTCTGCAAAATCTGGTACTTTTGCAGAGACAATGAATAAACACCCACTCTACTGAACTTTATGATTTTGTTTGGATTTTATTTTAGGAAGTCTGATCACCACTTCTGTTTGCGGGCTATTGCAGAAATATATTGGGCTCAGCAAAGGCAGCTTGGCACTGACTTAAGAACAAACACTTTTGATCTGTAAATGGTTTGTAAGGCGAGTGATAACTTCACCGGCTTCCTCAATAACTTCCACTTTAGTGTGGTGTGGTGATGCCAGCATTACTACACAGGAGTAGAAATATATGTAAAAATGCACATATAACAACAGTCAGTAGTAGACTGACTGAATGTGGAAAAAATTGACATTTTGTTGAAATTACATTTGTTGTTCTTGAAAAATCCCAGGCTGTTCATCTGTTCTGTAAATGGGTAAATGTTAAATAATGTATTTGTACATCTTTACACTAAAAGAAAAAGGCAAATTTTGATGTGCAAATTTTGAGGTTTAATTTATAGGTTATTATACAATGGTTTTACTGGTCTGGCCCACTTGAGATCAAACTGGATTTGATGTGGCCCATGAAATACTATGAGGAATTATTACTGCTGTGTCGTTACTCCGTCCAGCAGGTGGCGTTGTTAACAACTCCAACACCACCGAAGCAGTGAGGGCATTCTTGGCCGCTCACCTACAGTTGAAGCTATTTTTCAACACTTACGGTTGTCGTTGCTTGTTTCTAAAGCTCACTAAAGGTCAGTTTTGTCATTTTATTACTCAAGTATTTCATTATGCGAAGTAAGAGCCTTAAAATAACACTTTTTCCGTGATACGTCACAGGAAATGATAGCTTGATCCGCTGTAAACAGTCTGTTAGCTGCCAAGCTAAGCTATCTAAAAACAGCAGTTAACGTATGTCAGTTTGGCTATCTGGTCGGTCTTAATTTGGCAAATCACTCATATTACACCGTGTTACCTTGCCATAGAGGACACGCTTTGTCTTCTCTCAGAAGTAGCCAGTATTTAAGCCGAGTTAAAGTCTTTGGTACTGCAAGAAATGTGTTAGTCGCGACGAGGGAGCTTGTCCAAAAAGCAGGTGATATTTTCCATTAGACGAGGTTACTGTGTTGTCAGACTGCACACAGGTTTGTTGTGATTAAACAATACTTTCTTCACATTGTTTCCACTTTACAGGGAGTGCACTGGCTGCATAAACCGACAGAGAGGCTGGCTGAAGGATGAATCCACTGGACTGGGATGCTTACAGAACACCACAGAGAAATCTGCACCCACATCACCCCAGTGATGTTAATAACATCATGGAGAACACCCCAAGAACTAACAATAAGTGGGACACCTACTGTGAATACTCAAGACACACTGTTGATGAAGCACATAGCAGCATGATGGGAGTGAATGTGGGAAGGAGGGTGATCACTCCTCCCCTGCATAACTTCTACATGAAGGAGCCAGAAGTGGAGGACCCAGATGGAGAACCACTTGAAATGGATGAAGAGGATCCAGAGCTGGCGAGGAAGCGGAAAGAGCTCAGAGAGATAGAGGAGCGGATAATGATGAAGAAAGCCTCTATTGCTCTGAAAACAGTTGAACCTTTTGGGAGGAAGACGACACCTCCAGATTATCCCCATAATGAACAATCAGCCACATGCAAACATGCATCTCTCAAAGACAGGGTGAATGAAATTTTGCGGCAGCGTCATCCTCCTGGCTTTTTCTCAAAGGTGAGTTGTAGATTGATAGATCAGATAATCAATCATACAATGCTTTTCAGTTTGTCTAGTGCTTCCTGGATAATATACTGAATACTGTGTTTCCACCTCTTTTTTCAGGTCCACTCACTCAGAGAGAGAATAAACTCATCCAGCCTGAGCAAAGGTGGTTTGCTGCAGGACAACCATCCACTGAAGCTCAGAGTGAAGGCATTAATGAAGCAGAGATGTAGTGATCCGTGTGTTTTACCAGAGAGCAGAGAGGTTTGTAATATTTTTGCCCTTTGTAGAAAAATGCCACCAGTTTCATGTTATATTTAATAATCAGATACATAGATTTCAAAATATACAGAAAGATCAAAAACAAAATCACACATGAAATTTGTATGTTATTTTAAAGTTGAGTAGATTTTAATAATCATCAAATATACCCATCCATCCATGTTTTATACGAAGGCTGCATGACATGAAAACCAAAACTACTAAAATACAACAAAAGGCATGTTGAATTAAAAAAATGAAAGGGAAATGTTTCCAAAATTCTTTTATTGAACAAGCACCAATTGAAAAAGAATGATAGTCACGTTTTAAAGTGCATTTTAACTGATATTTTCAACCAATTAAAAAATTCCTGAGTGCAGTATTGCAGTCTTTTGCAATGTGTATATTGTGCAACCTGACATTGCGATGGCAATTTAAAAAAAAAAAAAAAAAGAAAGGCCTTTTGATACTCACTTACCCAGTCCAGGGCTGCTGGGGGCTGAGACCTTTCCCAAAATACACTGGTTGCGAGACAAGGGACACCCTGGACAGGGTGGGCCATGTGGTTAACTCATAATACACAGTCACATGTCTTAGGACAAATTTGTCATCAAATTTATTTTTAGGAGAATGAACATAGAAGATGAACATAATTTCAGGTTGGTTGTAGTTGAAACAGAAATAGACAGACAGTCTTATACATACCAACGTCTGTCACAGTATAAGATCGGCATTACTGGAAATTAGAAGATCTTTTCTAAGTAAAACCCAAGAAAAATGATGGGATTTGACAGACATGGTTTAACTGTATACCATGTGTATTTATACTCATAAAACACATTGAATATTGAGATAATACTGGAGTAATTGTTTTGTTATGCTCAACTCAGTAAGTTGTGTTTTAAAATAGCGTCAAACCGATCCGATAAATCGTCTGGCTGTGTTGTAAAGTACTTAGAGTGATAGCTACATAAGATCAGAAAAACATTTGCACCTTTGTCAGAGATGAATGTTGTGGTCTAATCACAGTTGGCTTTTTTTTTTAGCCTACATCTACCTTCTGTCCTGCGGCCATCCCAATTTTGGTTTTTTAGCACCTCTCATTATTATTTTCTGTTCTCTGGGACTCTTTAAGTCAAAGCCACAATGTCATTATCAGACTCTCAAATATTAATATAGGCCTCAGAAAATCCAGATTTTGACAGATAGGTTTCAGAAAAATATAAAGAAAAACACTTGAGCTACATCATAAGTATTTGATAAGCGAAGTTACCAAAATAGAGGATGATATCTGATATCATAATGTAATTTGATACTGTAGTCAAGATATGAAATCCTCATTTGGTAGAAACTCATAAAGGAAGTGGATTAAAGCAGGCTTTCAGGAGTTGATGTTCTTGTCAGACTGTAATTTTGACTTTTGGTACTCCACGTAAAGACAGTATGGAGTATGAAAAAAGTTGTGTGGTTGCTATAAGTTTTTGTTTTATTGAACTAATGTTTAAACAGAAAGTAACGTTTCTGTATATCTGACCCTTCCCAGGTCCCTGACGTCACGCTGCCTTCCCCGAGTCAAAGCATTACTTCACTAGCCACAAAGGACAGCGGCATCAACGAGGGTTTCCAGCGCTTCCTCAGCGTGCTCAACAAAGGCGTGGACATGGACTTCCTCAGTAGGATTGTCAACGATGACAGTGATCTTCCGTTAGGTGGAGAGCTCCTGAACGTTCAGCCATCTCCTGTGGAGAACAAGTCAGATCCACCCTTCAGGAGGGAGAACCAGCAA